TTCCACTTTCTTTCAGTATCAAAACACTCACCAAAGATGGCTAGGCCCAAATTACCCCAGATGAAAAATTAAACTTTTAAGTGGAAAAGGCTGTTTAATCATAGGTTCCTTTTTTTTAATGTGATGTCATTTGTAATTTTACCTTCCTCCCACTTTACATGTATTTTTTATCTTCTCAGATGGGTTCTGCCATATGCCTCTCATGCTTGAAAGTTTTCTACTTTCACATACAATATTTCACTGTTTTGCATGACCTTAGGAGCTTCTTTTTTAACCTGTCTGTCATTTTACGAAACATGTTGTAAGGTAGATGAGTGACATTGATATTGTTATTTCTTTCAGGTGTAGGACTTTAATGAAATGGACTGTTTTTGCTTATGTTACGTAAAGGCATGTAAACACATTGAATATAAAGCATTGAATATCAATGCTTACTCGGGTTGGCAGGTTGGCTTTCTGGTCAAATCTACTTTAAGCATCTCTAGGTATGGTGAAGGGTATGTGATGATGTGGGGCTATATTAACTCCAAAGGCTAAGGGAATCATGTCCAGACCAAACTTCCCATCCTCAAATGTTGTGGGCGAGGCTAAGTTCGGCCGGCATCCAGGCTACTTTTTATAGTTACTGTATTTATTTATTATTTATTTACAATGATTTATACTGTATATATGTAGCTTCTTCCATTTTCTAATGATTGCTCCAACAGTGGACCTTTTTTCTCCAAGCTGCTTGCCAATTTCCCCGTAGCCCTTTCCAGCCTTGTGGAGGTGTACAATTTTGTCTCTAGTGTCTTTGGACAGCTCTTTGGTCTTGGCCATGTTAGTAGTTGGATTCTTACTGATTGTATGGGGTGGTCTTTATGCCACTAACGTCCTCAAACAGGTGCATCTAATTTAGGATAATAAATGGAGTGGAGTTGGACATTTTAAAGGCAGACTAACAAGGTCTTTGAGGGTGTTCAAATACTTATATTCAATTTTCGGTAGTTATTGTATAAAGTCTTCTATTTGTCTTCGGTTTGTTTTATGCTGTCATTTGTGTCATTATGGTTGTACTGTGTGAATAATTTTTTCACTCTTTTTGAGCCTTTTACTTTTATTCAGAAATGACAGTTGAAGAGTGTCTGAAGAGAGATATGGTGTTATTGGGAAGGACCACGGGTTAAATTTGAATCTGGATCCCCTGTGGGCACTTGGACCTGAATAAGATGTGCAACTGTTTACTATGTCTTGTCCAAAGAAGTGTTTTTTGCACAAAACACACAGACTTAGCTAGTTTTGAAGCAAAAGACAATCAAATATGTCAAATACCAATGAATTGACTAAAGTGAAAAATGGCATTTCAATAACTGACTAAAAACCTTTACATTGCCATTAAAGTGACATTACTGAACCTAATCATATAAGTCTGCAAAGAAATGCTCGTGGTATGTACAGTATGTGTCACATCACTTGATATAATCCCATTGACAGTTTTTAAATACATTTGATTTGTCAAAAACACTTTTGATCACACCACACACACGCAAAACACCTCGGCAGGCCATATTGAGCGATGTGCTCCACATACAGAGCAGTGTGATTTGCTTTGAGGTTAACTATGCTGTGGCTCTCTCAGTAAAAACACAAGTAGATCTTGTCCTCCTTTCCAGTAACCCAGATAATCAATAGAACACAGTGGCCTGGGATTCTCATTCTGCCTGGTGTGTGTGTGTGTGTGTGTGTGTGTGTTATTCTTCTGTGTTCTGTCTATTTTTTAACTGCTACTATATTTTAAGGTATTTTCTTTTTAGATAGATACATGCGATATGTGTGCATACATGCTCCCGCTCTAAAGCAAATAGACAGTTTGGCTGCTCATGTGATGGGGGAGGTACATTATGAATGAGATTTGTCTAGCTACTTGATTATCCTCTTAAATTATTAATGGATTCTGGTGCTTCCCTTTGGCTTCCACCCCCCTTGATCTCCCTAGACCTTCCCTCTCTTTGTTCTTCACTTTAATGGTCACACAGAGGTTTATATGAGCTGTGTGTGTACAGAAATGAGAGAAGATCGGAACACTAAGTAGATCATCCTGGGTCATTTCTCACTTGGAGATGCTCATAAGTACTTGACTTAACTGTTGATTTGAAGTGAGGGAAGCAAGAATGAGAAATAAAAAAATGCCTAAATGGTTAATTGCGCTTGTTAAATGTTAAAGTTGAAATGTAAAGAGATTGTTTGTTTGTGTGTTTTAATCAGATCATATATATATATATATATTTATTTATTTATATTTATTTATTTATTTAAAAAATCCATAGGGTTTCTCATCCTGAGTGTTTTTTCCACTGTTCCACACGCACCCTTTATGTACGTTAGTTTGTTTTGTCTTCATTTTACTTTGTTGTTTAATAAATGGGCTGTGGTAAAGCGCATACCAGGAACTGTCTCTCTTCAGAGGTCTTGTCTAACCTTAAGATCGACTTGGACAAATACCTGGATACATTATCTGAGTTTGTCTTGTCTGATTTAAATACTTGAGGCTGTGGTTTCCGGATCCTAATCGGGGCATAGCTTCTTGTGGCGGGTTTGAGTGGTTTTCAAGATGGTGGATGTAAAGAGACTCTTCCAAGGCTTTCATAGTATAAAAAGTATAGTTGGACATTTTTGCATTGCTGTTTTATTTACACTGTTCCCCAAAATGGTATTAAAAAGTGAGGAAGAGCAAAAATATACAATTGTAATTAGAGAATAGATCTAACACACTGTTCCTTTGAGCCATGATGCTACATTTTACTACTTTGTATTATACAAACATGACAATTTCTGTATTAAACTTTTTACTCTACTGCTCTATAGTCTGCAATAGACTCCAGTGGGAGCAGAATAATAATAAGAGAAGAAAACAAACACTATAGGGGGGCAATGCACCTTCTGTTGGCAACATAATGTACTTTGTTGGTTGTGGGCATGGGGTGTTTTAGTTGTTGATTAGATATGACTTGGGCTCCCCATCACAATCCCTTGTGTTGTGATGGGAACTGAAGCAGTATCCTTTTTATTAATGTCTAGGAAGGTCTTTGCTTTGTGTACACAACAAGTCATTTAGGCATTTACAACAGTTTGTTTTTTTACACAAAGGTTGATTTTACGCCATCAATCTGTATTCCAGTTCCTGACTGTTGTTTTTAGTTGCAAATTGCTATTCACAGGCCGTATTTGTGCGAAGAAAAAAAAAATGTGCCAAAAGTGTAAGCGTGAAAAATGAAAGTCAGAAGAATAAAGATCTTATTTATTTTGCGTAAACATTAAGCTGTAGTTTCACAATACTTGCAATAAACTTACGAATAACAGTAAAATGCTGCAAATATTATTTTTCTTACACTTGAAAGGTGATTTACACCTTTACAAATATTCTCTTGCACACGCTAATTTGATTAATGCTTGCAATCTCTTATGTACACTTTCACAAATCTTAGTATACCATTCTTTATGACATCATTTTATCTTAATAGAAATTGAATTTATTTTCATTACTGAGAAGTTAATAGCTCTGTGACCTGTGTTTTCTCTAAAACCAAAAGGATATCCACTTGATAGCATGTAAAGAAAATGCTTACTTTAAAGGGGTGGTTGATTATGATTTCACTTTTTTTTACTTTAGTTAGTGTGTAATGTTGCTGTTTGAGCATAAACATCATCTGCAAAGTTACAACACTCAAAGTTCAAAGCAAAGGGATATATTTTCTCTTACGGAAAAAGCTCTTTCTTTCTTTCCTCCCAGGCTAGTGATGTCCCTAAAATTTACATAAACCCTGCCCCTGGAAACATACAACAAGAGGAAGAGTTGTTGCAGTAGAGCACATTTGGGAGTCTACTCAAGCTATCGCATCCGTCTTTTCACATTTATTGCAATACAGTACTTAACACAAATGCAATAGCATGTAGGCATCTTACAAGAGTTCCCTCACAAGCAATTTTATAGATTATCATGACAGAATTTGCTAATTAATGAAGATAGTTAACTCCACATCAGCTTTAAACAACCATTAAGAAACATCCTGTTACATCCTACATGTTGTCACGTCTTCTGGAGACTCTCCATCTTTGTCCAACACAGAACAATTTCTCACATTTTGGTGCATGTCTGCAAGCTGCTAATGACGCGAGCTGTTATCGCTCTGTGCCGAGAGCAGCAACTCATTTGCATTTAAAGGGACACATACAAAACCAAGCGTTTTTTCTCACCCTCAAAAAGGGCCCATTTTAACATTAACATTTAAAATTATCTGTGGGGTATTTTGGGCTAAAACTTCACACACACACACACACACACACACACACACACACACACACACACACACACACACACACACACACACACACACACACACACACACACACACACACACACACACACACACACACACACACACACACACACACACACACACACACACACACACACACACACACACACACACACTCTGGGGACATCAGAGACTCAGAAATCTTGTAAAAACAGGCATTATACCACCCCTTTTAAACTAGGCAGATTGAAAATGAGCTCAGAATGTTTTTTGTTTTTTTTCACTGAATAATGTTAACAGCACTTTTTGTCTTTAGCAGGGGTGTAGTAAACCTTGATAGAACTTTTAGAGTTTTTACAGATCATACTTCACACACGGGCAATAATCATTATATTTATGAGCTTTGTTTTGCTGCTGTGCAAAGAGAAAAACTCATGCAGGCCAATGGCTTCTGCAAACCAGTGAATGTACCATCAGTAGAGTATAATCCCAATATAGGTAGAGCCCTGATTAATTTTCATCAGGCTGGCTGATAAGGTATATAATACCCCCTAACACACACAAACACATTTTGTTGATTCTGTGTCAAAGTATGAAAAAAGTTACTGTCACTGAGCAGTGTACAGGTTGGTGGTGATGATGATGATGGAGTTCTCAGCTGTCTTGTATCTAGGAAATGGTGTCAACGCATCTGCTCTCTTGCAGGAGTTGGCAGATTTGCGGCACGTCCACTCCAAGGTTAAAAAGCAGTACCAGGAGAAGATGGCTGAGCTAGCACATGCTAACCGGCGTGTGGAACAGCATGAGACAGAAGTTAAGAAACTCAGACTGAGGGTGGAGGAGCTGAAGAAAGAGCTGGGCCAGGCTGAAGATGAGGTGAACCAAAAAACTTGGTGTATTCTGTGGTTTTCTTTGTTGTCCTTTTATTTAAATTTAATACAGTAAGTGCATTTAATACAGGCTCAACAGTAAGTGTGTTTTGTTATGTTTAAACAACAAATTGATTCGGCTGTTACTTTACAAAATTAGATAGAGATAAATTAATCTTTGCTAAGACAACAAACAAGTATAACATAAAATTATTAAATGTTTAATTTTCAAACCATTCTTCCTGTCTCTCCTGACCGTGTCAAGTAATTTTCACAGTTTTAATCATCAGCTAGATAGCATTGCATTAGTGATAATATTTAAATCAGCAGAATTCTCAGCAACAATTTTAAGTAAATCACAGAAAACCAAATCTTTACTTTTGCTATGATCAATGAATGTACGCTAGATTGGCAACGCATGTATGTATTGTATGTGTGTATACAGTATATATACACAGTATCTCACGTAAGTGACCACACCTATATACAGTATATCTTCTCAAGGGACAATATTATAGAAATAAAACTTGGATATATTTTAGAATAGTCAATGTGCTGCTTGTATATCAGTATATATTTACTGTCCTCTGCAAATAACTCAACATACAGCCATTATTGTCAAAATGTACACCCTAGGTGATAATAGCTGTACCGTACGTCATTTAACCATGTAGAGCCACATGTCCTATTCATAATTTTCATGTTGTTGTCTGCTTAACAGGACCATACAAATTTGTGTATCTTGTATTAGAGCAGTTAAAAGTTGTGCTTTGATTACAATTCTCTCATACTGACCACTGGGTGTTCAACATGGCACCTCATGGCAAATAACTCTAAGGATTTGAGAATTAGAATTGTTGCTCTCCACAAAGATGTCTTGGGCTATAAGTAGATTGGTAACACCCTGAAATTGACTTACAGTACAGGCCAAGGTCATACAGAGGTTTTCCAAGATGGGTTCCACTTGGAACAGGCCTCGCAAGGGTCAATCAAAGAAATTGAGTCCTTGAGCTGTGCGTCAGGTGCAGAAGCTGGCTTTTAAAAAAAATTGTCCCTTGAGAAGATATACTAAAATGTGATTTGTGTACTCACTTTTGTGAGATTCTGTATATGATCCCTAAACTATGTATTATGCAATTGTTTCAGTTGGACGAGGCTCATAATCAGACCAGAAAGCTACAGAGATCCCTGGACGAGCAGGTGGAGCAGTCAGAGAACCTACAAGTTCAGCTGGAGCACCTACAATCTAGGTAAGCAGATAAATAAATCCACACGCACTCACGTCTCGGAAGCATCTCTATACCAGGTCAACTGTGTGATACGTTTGAGAATATTGTGTTCAGTTCAGATGTCTTTTGATCAGTTTTGAATACAGGATAAGCTTCTGTTACACAATATCATGAATAAGATGGCAGGTTTATAGGGTGAACTGTCAACGGTTCTCTCAGCCGCGTTCTCTCTTTCAGTCTCTCTCTCATTATTCTGCCTGCATTCAGGCTTGCACCTACCCGCAGCCAATCCCAGGCTGCCTGGCTGTGGGTTACCGTAGTAACAGGGAGACGTGAAGCGGTGTTGTGGGCTCGGGCCCCACGCAGCTGGAGAGAACAGTGACAAGCATGTCGGCATGGTGGTGTTTGTAGAGACTGATGAAAAGCTTCTAATGATTAAGACATCCGCAAAGCATAATTCCTCCATATTACACCTGTGTAGATGCATATGATTTAATTATGAGATTGTCGTAAAAACAAAAGTCATTTATCTAAAATAATGCAGCCTTGCAGATTTGTGGACGGCCAACTTTCTTTTGTGGGTATAGGAGAGATGTCAGTTGGATTCAGTCCAGAGACTGTTGAGAATAAATAGCTGACTCTCATTTGAGGTAAAATGGCATTGTAATTTAAAGGCGATTTTTACATTTTCTGAAAGAAATGTAAGTAGCGTATGAAGTGGTTGTGTTAGAGCGTTGCTTTGTTGTGAGTGATTTGTGTCGTCGCATACTGATCCATTTCAACAAGGCTCTCCCCCATGTCTCAATAGCTGCGTTTCCATTACCTTTTAAATTGCACAAATTGAAATTGCGAATTGAAAATATGCCCAATGGAAACACACAGGTTTTTCAGGCCATTCAAAAAAGGAATATTTCACAAAACTGCGATGGAAACAGTTTTTCACAGTTATAGGTCACCTGGCGTGAGTAAAAGTCAATCATTCTTTAAAGATGCCACGTTATGTTTGGACTGTAGAAAAGACGAGTTCTTTATTAAACTCATAAAAGATGAAAGTATTATGGGAATACTGGATTCTGAACAACAAAGAAATGCCAGAATGTATCAAGCAACACCCAGAAATACCTCATACAGCTGCTGCCAAGTACAGTATAAGGGACTTGGATAATATACCTACGTCTCCTTCATTTGCCGTGGCTGCGATACGTAAACCTACTAACATTCGTTGCCATTGTTTTTGGAATGACGTATCTTGAGAGGTAAAAAATATGTTTTAGTTGCAGAAACAACTAATTGTTTTTATCGACATTTAGAAAATATTGCAAAAGTTTTGTGCAAATTTGATGTTACAGGCTAGTGATATTCTCGTCCCTCCTTTTGCCTGTGAAATTCCTAAGTTTGAGGTTTCATGCATGTCTACAGTTTGTACCGAATCCTGTTCCTTAATGTTCCATTAAACACTTTTAAGTTATTGAAAGTTGTCATAGTACTTTCAAGGAAGATTTTTTTTTGTTTGTTTACATATACTCTAATTTGAGGTGCCATATATATATATATATATAGTCAAGTATATTTATACAATATATGTGTATATATACAAAATATGCGTTTTCCACAATATAGATTACATCAAAGCAGCTTCACAGTATCAATCAAAACAGAATAACAATGTTCATTTCATAATGGAAAAACATCCACACTTGGTAGAGCTGATCAAGGGTATTACTGATTGGTTAATTTGAATATCCCGGAATTGAGCAAGCCAAAAATATACAAACAAAACATATTTTTGAGTTTGCTCCAAAACTAAAATAAAATGCTCTACAGGGAGAAAAGGTTGCTCACTAGGTTGTCAGCGAGTGCCAATCATCAATGTGAAAGAGGAGTTGTTGAAGAAAGGATGCGAGAACATTCATTCCGACCGTCCCTCTGAGAGGTGGGCCAGGGTTCAGCATAAGCGCAGCGATTGAGGAAGAGGGGAGCAGGCCATGGGCGGATAGGGTGACAGATGGAGTTGAGCGGTTGTCCAAGTTGTCATGGAGACCGAGGATGGTCTAGAGGCTGATTTGGAGTAAGCGTTGTCAAGGTGACAAGAGAAGGCTGGAAATGACAGCATTAAGGAACTGATAGGGCTTCAGTTGCTGAGTTGACTTAGAGTTCATACCCATGTCTAATGCCACAGGAAGTTCAGAGTCGCATCATTTCCCAGCTGGCTCTGACTCCGCCCACTTTATGCCCTGCAGCAAGAATACCATAAACCATCATATCTGCTGTGTGCACAGTGGACACGCAGAAAAGGATCAAATCTCATGATTGAGGTTGGCTTCTCTCGCCCGCTGTCCTGCTCTCAGCGGCTGTGTCTGTCTGTTAGTCTCGCAGCGTGAGACAGCAGCTCTGCTCAGCCCACCGGCAGCACCATTTGGCACCCCCACCGTGCCTATTTGCTGCTTCCCTCATTGGAAAGCTGTGAACTCACTGTCTTTCGTTTGTGTTTCACCCTTAGTGGCTTGTTGTTGTTCCCTCTACTAGTTTTTGTCCTGTCTGCTAAGGTCCTTGCTCTAATTCTCTCTTTTTATTCATGTCTCTCCATCTCTTCCACTCTCTTTCTCTCTACCTCGGCCTCTACAGAGAGTAGATGGTAATTGACTTTATGTGCTTCAGTCTATAATCATAAACTTTGTGTGTAAATCGATATATGAGGGCAGACAATGCTCCTAATCCCTGCAGGAAGCAGAGAAGCCTACCAGGTCTGCATGTACACTCAGGCGTGTCGCGTATACCACTTGCATTAAACACTTTGTCCATTTATGTTGACTATAACCCTCATGGTCTGTTTGTGGTTTAAAAAAAAATCACAAAACCTTTCAAATAGCTCAAACAACATGCAGCACTTAAAGCTACACTGTGCGATTTTTACCCCCATCTAGCGGTGTAAAGGTATATGACCATCCAGTGAATATTAGTTTCTGTTCCTCTTAATTCCGATTTCGTTTTAACTCCTACGGTGGCCAATGTTGTCCAAGATTAACATGGCTTCCAGTTCGACCTCGTCCATGAGTGTTAACTCAAACGTAACGCGAAAGGCGAAGCTTGAATTAACGGGTATGTCCCTCTTTGGCTAATGTACTTTCAAGATGGAGGGGGCAACATGGCGACCGACATTAGAACCCCTTACCCGTATGTATTTCCAATGGCATATTATACACTCACAAGAATACTTTATTACTTGAACGAAGTAAATATACATTAATGTACTCATATATTTTTGAAAGAACTAAGTGTTTTTAGCTAAGAATAAACTAAAAGAATTACACAGTGTAGGTGAGAGTTCGCTCAAAAATGCTAATTCTGTTTTCATTTTATTCACTCTGGTTCCAAACCTGTATGACTTTATTTCTTCTGCAGAGCACAAAAGAAGATATTTGGAAGAATATTAGTTGGCAAATGGTTTTCGTTGACTTCTGTTGAATGAACAGAAAAAAACACATTTATCAAATTATCTTCTGTTCCACAGAGGAAAGTCAGTCATACATGTTTGGAATGAAATTATGACTGAATTTTCATTTTTGGGTGAACAATCTTTTTGAAATTTAAGTGTGAGGTTGCTCTCTTATGGCTTTTCTTAACCTTATGACTGATATAAAAAAAATCTTACATTAGATCTGGTAATTTATGTACAAAAACATGCATGCAATGCAATTTAAATGCAAAGACATGGATACACTAACAGTGTAGCAGTACACTCCTGCCAGTAGTCTGATAGTAGACTTGATAGCTTGAAAGCTCTGAGGAATGTGCCAGATACGGTTCTGCGTGGAGGAATGAGCTACACAAAGACGGAGACATGGTGATGAGGCTTTATGTAGAGATAGATCAGATGGAGAGAGCTGATGGTGTGGATCTGTGCAGCTTTAATGTAGCTCGCCAGTTGCATTCTTATCTGAGTGTACAGACATTAAAAGGCAGGCATTTAAAGCACACCTCCACTGAGTGACAGACAACTCATCAGCTTCGTGTGGCAGAGAGAACTAGAGAAAGGAAGCGTTATGTCTGCGTTATGTATGGGGGAGTTGAAGAGGGGGATATATTAATAAATAAATCAAACAAAGGATAATGAAAATGTCTGTTGTAGAATGGGATTATCATGCACGTGACATTGGTGTCGTGATTTCACGGTTGCTTTGTCTGACTGACATGTTCTTTATTGTACATATCTCTGGTGCCAGTAGCGTTGGGGTAGAACAATTACATTGCTGCTTTCTGATTGGTCACATTGGTTTTCCATTGGTTTGGTAGTGCAGAAGTCAATTCCACATCCTAAATGATGGTGTAATGTTTTACATCAAAACAGAACAGATAATATGCCTTAGGGTCTGAGTTTATTCTTTGCCTCAATGAACAAATGAAAGAATAAAAGGCTAGGAGAGTTGCTGATCAGAACTTGAATTGTAAATGAGTGGTTGACATGAAATGTCCTGTGCGAAAGTATTAGGCACGTTAGTATTTTCACCAAAACAAAATGGTTTCAAGCCAGTTATTTACAGTTTGTATTTTGCTGTAGTGTGTTAGTAAAAAAATATCAGTTTACATTTACATTACAAGATTACATCATTACATTGATGATAGGAGAATATGAATGGTCATGTTGTGTTGCATTCAGTGGAATAAACTGCATTTTAAAATATATTAGATTTTATATATATATACACACACATTTATAAGATATAAATCACTCAGTAATTATTACACACAGTATTTTCGTCTCTGGTGATTTTGGTTCTATCTAGATAGCAAAAAATACCCTTTTTACATGTATTTACATTGTAAATAAGTATGTCCATGTTATTTATCTACCACCCAAATGTTAAAATGCTAAAATATTCATGGTCTCTCAGATAAACCCTGAAGACATGAGTCACTGTGTGGGCTCAACAAGAATCAATTTGGTTTCACTATTTGTATGCATCTCTCTATGTATGATCTCTAGTGAAAATTGTAGCCCTGTGAAGCTTTGGACTCAAAAAGCTTTTAGTGTAATGTGTAATTTAGCAATGTTTAGTGTTTCCTGACAGTAGGGTCCCTCTTCTGTGGAGGATCCTGGGTCCTTATACACCCCTGAATACAGCCAGAGAAGCTTTTCATCTGTTCACTTATTCAAACACTAACAATATGGTGTGTCATCAGCTGTTCAAAGATGAGAGGGTTGTTTCTCTCTCCCTCCATTTCTTACATCAACCTCTTGTTCTTTTACCTGTATTATGTTGTTGTGATTGTTTTACCTTGTCTGTTTACCCCAGCAGCACTTTAATGGCCAGGAAATGTTTCCTTACATGCCACAGGGCCAGTATTTCCTTACAATTACATCAAAAACATAAAAATACAGTGCCTGACAAGAATAGAGACTCAAAACAGAGCGAAAAAGTCCAAAGAAAAAGGATGGGCATTACAAAGAGTGTTGTCAGAAATAACTGTGCTAATGACCACCTGTTTTGCTATTCTAGTTTGCTATTCTAATACTCTCAAATATTCAGATATCATATAAATCATCATCATAAAAAACTATGATTTATTCTGTTAATTTGCCCACTGGTTACTCATTCTGAGCTAATTTGCATTTGTTTTTGCATTTGTTTTCTGATGCAGTACTGGTGTCCGCTATAGCTGAACTGATGTATTTTATTTATTTATCTATTATTTATCTATTAGCACGTATTATTATTGTTTGCCAGTCGTTGTCATGCCAGTAATAATGGATGATAAACTTTTACTATGATTCTTAGAGCTCCTTGTTTCTTGTTCTTATTTTAATTGACGTAATGGAGGTACCAAGAATCTTTGTGACTTAAATTTACTTATGTTGACTAAAAGCTCCATTTAAAAGTGAATGAACAACCTGATATGAAATCAACAGTGACAAATAATGCTAGACATTTTCTCAGACTTTCTACTGTCATTTTGAAGAGTACATTACAAAATTATTGTTTAGAATGTGAAAAAAAACCTTTTAGAGAATTGTTTCACTTAAAATGTGTACTTTATCTCTGTAATTGACACTTGTTCATCTAATGCAGTGATTTTAGATTAAGTGTGGCTTAAGCGCCCAAATTTACTTTTTGATTCCACTGGGATTACGTATTTCTCATTGTATCTCCTTCTCTCGTTTGTCTTTATGTATTTACTTGATTTATGTTATTATTATTTATTTTATTTTATTGTTTTATATTTTTTTGGGAAAGGCTAAGGCGTCAGCAGAATCCTGGCCTCTTTGGCAAGATGATGACATCAGCTTCAACGCGTTTTGGGCCTGAAGACGCAGACGGCCCCCATAGTGACCCTGATGAAGATGAGGAAGAACTGCAACTTCAGATCCCCTGAATTGCTCACTCCACACCTGGAAATGGACGAAAAACTCGTAGATCGTACTCAAACATTTCACCTTCTCTTTCATTCCATCTTTCAGTTGAGTCCAGAAGAGGACACAGACTTCACAATCCTCAGCAGACAGATAAACACAACGATTTTTCAGTAGCCTGTTTTTGACAGCTTATAAAGTGTGTGCCAGGGCTTTAAATGGTGTATTATGTCTCAAGTAAAACCACTTGTGTCTCCACTAATATATTGCTGGTTACAGTCCTAGATGGCACATAGATGATTAATATAAGGATACAGGCTCACCGATTATTAATCGACCAAACTGTTTACTGTTATGATTTTTGAGGGTCTCATGAAGCCCATAGTGATAATGCACATGGTAAAGTAATAAGTGGACTTATGCGCTGGTACACACATTTCAAGCCTGAAAAAAAGCCCATTGTAACTTGTTCGCACTTTCAAACAGTAACCCTGGAAGGAAATTGACACAGTCTGGATCCCATTCTCATCTCTTGTCTGACTTGGGATGACCTCTCCACAAAATACTTCTGCTTCATGCACTGTTTACATGCGTGTTCCCTTCCGCCTCTCTTCATTTATTTTCCATCACCAGCATTATAATGTTCCCTTTTGCTCTTCCCATTCATTTTGATTTCCCATTTAATCTTTTGTCGGCCCTCCCACACACCCCCATCCCTTAACACCAGATGAACATGATGATGATGTTCCCTGTGTCTGGGGAACATTTCATTTCTGCTGTGTTGTTACTGAAGAGGCAGGCAAGTCGTTTGTTTTTCGGAAGTAGTCTTGCTTTAATTGTCCCAAAGTTCTTCTTGGTGACCATATAAATGTGTTTCTGTCTTTGCAGTGGAGGAGTAGTCTTGTTTTATGTAGAAAGTAGGGAGGGGGGGCCGTGGGTAGTTTGTGAACAAGTCGGTTGGATTCTTATTAAATATATTCAACCATAATTGCTTTCCCCTTTTGTATTAAACCTTTGAAAGGGACCGGTGCATGAGGGAACATTTTAACAAAAAGTTCTGTTGATTTTAAACAGACTTTTAAGCAATATAATACTGTCTACATCTGCAATGGGGACCAATACTGACTCATCTTCAACTAGGACATTTGTACTGGTCATATTAAAGTATTTATCAGATGTTCATTTTTTTTTTACATAAGTTGCCTGTATTACAGTTTTTTTGTATTTGTTTGTGTTTGTATTTTACATCTATAAATGTTAAGTGTATATACATTAAATATTGACTGACAAAATCAACTCCTGCCCTATACATTTCTTTTCAATTGTATATGCGTCACAATAATGAAGCAAAGACTATCTACATTTCCGTTGCGTGCTGACTTGAACTAAAATCACATGGCTGATTGCACCTTTCTATGGTTGCTGTGCCTCTCTCTGACATCTTTATAATAACATCTCTTAAACTTTTCTCGTATGCTTTGAGTACATGAGTGATAATTAGTTACAACAGGTAATGTTATACTTTAATCATCCTTCTTTTAGACATGCTTCAACAACCAAAGATGACCCCAGGATGGATATCTCTTTCTTTACGCGTCTCTGTATTAATTGGTTTGTAATAGGTTGTATGGCAAGATCACCGCAATGTGTTTTTTTTTATTTTATTATTATATAGCGAAGCAGAACCCAAAAGTAATTATTTTTACTTTACAAAATACATTTACAGATTGCAGATGAAGTCGGAAGATCAATGTGCTTGTGCAGAACGTGCCAGAAACAAAAGTCCCTAGAGACCTATTATTTTGTGCGTTTAAATATGTTTAAACTGCATCAGGTTTTGTTCTGGTTCATTGGATATTTTGTCTATTACTTTGGCTTTGAGGAACTTCCCAGTCCTTTATAATAGTGATGTGCAGCTTTAATGTTTTAGCTTTCATTGGACACTAAAGCTGCCTCTTAATATAGTTTTATTATCCCCTATTTTGGCAATGTTTCTTACCGTGTTAAACTTCTAATATCTTTACTTAAGCTCATCTCTGGTATCTCGCTGTTTCCACCACCCATGTGTGTCAGATGCTGACAGTGTCTTTCTGTGTCACTGAAGGAGAAGAGACGCGGTTTTAACTTTTTTTTTGCTACCTAATATAGTGTGTCCTCAGTTCTACCTGCACTTATGGTTAATGTAGCAAGTCATAATCTGAAGCAGGCAAAGACTAAAATAACATCCTTACTTCTTCCTGGCATTTTAACGACCTCCAATTATCCACATCTCAAACTTGTCGAGGAATCTGAGTGCTTCTGTAAAAGCGAAATCCAATATTGACATCTAGAGACCTCAAGTATGACGGATAAAAAGTGTACATGCACCGAGAACAGTATGGTAATATCTAAATGGAGATTAACAAGGTTTCCCCACCGAGTGCCTAGCACACTTTGCCACATTGACACCTATTATAGATTGTCAGCAGGCAGTGGAGTTACTTGCCGCATGGAGTACTTTCCCTGTGCTCTGCTTTTTTCCATGTATCATCTGGTCGTGCTGCTTACATGGGAATACTACTGGAATACTGCTTCTACAGACAGTAGATTTTTACATAGAGTAGTGCTGAAAATACTGCCGCATTGCTGAAGTGTTCCGGGTGGTTGCTAGGGTGTTGCTATGTGTTTGCTGCACTCTAAAAATTGCTGGGTTGTTTTAACCCAACTTTGGGTCAAATATGGACAAACCCAGCCATTGGGTTAAGTTTTTTAATTACATTTTTAACCCAACGTTTGGGTTTGTCCATATTTGACCCTAAGTTGGGTTAAAACAACGCAGCGTCTTTAGAGTGTATGGTATTCTGTGTTGCTACGTGGTTCCTTTTTGCTGCAAGTCCCACACCTTGTCTCAATAATTCAACTGACCTACAATGCAAGTCTGGCCTGTTTCATTGCAAGTCTGAAAAGTCATATAACGGACCTGTCCTCGGCAGCTGTACTTTTGGAGGTATCATTCATGACTAGTTCAATTCCTAGAGAGGAGACTTATTACAAACTTACACATTGTAGAAGAAATTCTGTCATCATTTATTGAACATCGTGTCTTTCCAAACCTGTATGACTTTGTGAGAAAAATATCATTGTTCTGTTTTTGTTTTGCAAAAAGTTGTACAGTTAATTTAGGTCTGGTGTCATACAAAGGATACCCACTAAAATGTCTAGCTAAAGGGATATGTGCATGCAGCTAAGAAAGTTAATGGTAATTTAAGCTTCCAACAATATGAGCCATAACACTACAAACACAATATGTTGTGAATCAGGAATAAACCACTTCTTCATATATATATATATATATATATATATATATGTATATATTTTTTTTTTTTTTGATGGGTTAATTTGCACCTGAGGGTTGCAACAATCCTTTAGATTCCAAATTTATTCTGTTGGGCTGTCGTAATGTGGCATTACTTAATATGTGCTTGCAAAATAGCTTTAGTGGTCGGACTCGTACTTGCAGATACTCTGACTTGCTTGAATGAATTTTCTAGTATTTTTTTCCATGGTAAAGAAATAATTTTTTATCATTCTCTTCAAGGAAATTAGTTAAGCAAAGACCCCCTGGTACCAGAGCAAACTGTGTAAATGACAAATTAAACCTTAAAAACAAATATGCCTTTAAGATGCAAATTTACCACCCATGGAAATTTTTTAAATGTCACCATTTGTCCTTTTCGTGACGGTTCTTATATTAGCTGGTGTCATCTCATCTGAGACACACACCTATGGTGAAATCCAGATGCTGTACTGAAGGCAGCAGGCTCACTTACACCCTTGACTCATTCACAGGATCATTTCAAGTCGGTGTAAGAGTGTTTACATAGTAGGTTACACATCAGGGCCATGAATATATTAAAGACATCTGTGTTTAAGAGCCAGCGGACTGTGGTGCATTTAAAGAGACATGAAAAGAAATCTTAGAGTGCAACCTAAGAGTCAACATTTATTAACTTTAATTAAAAGTTGAAGGGTGGTTAATAAAGGCCTTCTGAAGCGATGCGTTAATGTAAGAAATTTATTCATATTTAAAACTATCGACTAAAATAACTAACTTCCTAACTTTCAAGTCATGTGTAAGTGTATATATAAGTTAATAATTTGCTCTCACATTAAACCCCAATTCTAACCTAAAAATGACTCAACCTTGTTGGTTATTTTTATAAGAAACGTGGTTCTGTTTTTAATCTGATAACTTCTTTAGCATGTGCAACAAATTAAACCATTGGAAATGGACTCGAAAAGCATCCATCAGTTTGATTAAAATAAATGATTAATTTACCAATTAAAATGAATCACTCTTAATTACTGATGCTAGGTGAATACCAGCTCAGAGTGCTGCTATTGTTCAAGGATGTTAATGAGAAAAAGCAAATTCAAATTGCTGAATTGCTTACAAGCCAAGGAGATTAGAGCTAGTAATTAAACTCTTGTTCTCCATATTAGGCAGTGTAGTCCAAACAGCTTTAAACTGTTTTGTGGAGTTTATTCGTCCTTTTAGGGTTGCTTGCAATGATGATTTCATCACTCATTTTATATAGGGAAAGTTAGCCTTCCTTTTTCAGATAATGAAAAATCTTTCTTTGTCACGTCTGTCAATGCACTGAGAGAGGCGAGCTGAAACGAGTGAACATGACAGAATCATCAGCTGGAATCTGCGTCATGACTCCACTAGTGAGTGTAACCCTTCACTGTGCTGTCAACTTCAAATGAAGCACCTGATGCCAACCTCGTCAGTGTGGAGGAACAGGAAATAAACAGTTATTTCACAGACAACAGGACTCTAGTCCCCCATATCTTATTTAAATTCCCATTCTCTCCCATGACTTTCGCAGAGCTGTCTTTCCAAGCGGAGGTATTTGACAACAGAGAGACACTTTGTAAGCCTCCACTGGTGCAGATGCCGTTTCCTCCATATCGCTCCCCGGCACGCTGTGAGAACCAAGAGATAGCATAGCACCACGTCTGTGGGAGAAAGAGCGAATCGGATAACAGATTCTCAAATATCACTTGCTTGTAAAGCTGAAAGTCTTTTGATATTCATCTCACGGTCAGCTGTCATTTCAGAATGCATGTCTCTGGAGGCAGGTTGGTGTGGGCATAGTGTATCTACCTCATGTTTTGCTTGTTTCGTATAATGGCTGTTCTCGGGTATCTGGGATGTATCTGTCATTCTATTACAGCTACACAACCAATCATGTGAGATAATGGTTGGGACGCTAATAATTCTTACCTTGTTTACTGGAGTTATCTGGTTAAGCCACAGAATTGTTCATTCATTGTTGTTTTCAACAGGCAAACCATTGGTGGTTGAGTTTCACTGGCATCAGATAACTGTCGGGGGAGGGGGGATGTGTTCATGCAAAAATTCTGTGTAGATACATGTATTTACCTTTACCAATGCCTCTGAAATATTATAGATTTATACAATGTTGCAGGGGGTAACGTTACGTAATCCGATTTTTCCAAGTAACTAGTACTGTATTACTTTTGAGTTATAAAACACATGATTAAAATCACACCGTAATGACACTCTTTACATTGTCGTCTTCTCTGCCCTGGCTCGGCAGAACTGCGGATCGTACACACAAGTCTTGTACAGGACCATTCAGCACATAATTAAAGACATCTAAAGATTTATATGCCATCAGTTTCTCTTTACGATCAGTTTCTCTATAAGGTAGGTGTAGAAGTCAGGCCACTCACCCGAAGTAACGTAACGTTATAATCCTGTCAGATCGTCCATGCATTGAGTGAGCGTGTAGGCGGCTACGGGTCGGCCAATCTGGTTCTGTCCGTTAAAAATAACTTTTGGAAATAACAATCGTGGTCCTGGACACTGAGTGACCTTACACATTAAGATAATTTCGGATTTTCTCCAGTCATTGTTAAAAAAACAAGCTAACAATCCTTGCTAACTAGCGTTAGTGAAGCGGCCAGAGGGATCTTTCTGCCTCCACCTAAGCTCCGCCCACAAAAAAACGTCACCATGTTTACCAACTGTAAAAGGGTCTATTGTGATAGATTATAACTACTAGAAAAGTAGAATGCAAAATTCTTTCTTGTTGTCTACACACAAGCTAGCTATACCTTTAGGTAGGATGTTTTTTCATGTCAAATGCCATTTTGTCAACAGCAGGAGTTTGCACTGAAACACTGTTCTGGCTGAGAGGACTGAAGCCATCTTCTGAGCGTCTAAGCTCTTAAGCTCTCTACAAATCCTCAGGTTTATACTGCAGGTTTCTTGATGTTTTGAGCCT